CTTCACATGTAATCAGTAAACGTTAAAAATTACCGTTCCTTCACATGTAATCAGTAAACGTTAAAAATTACCGTTCCTTCACTTGTAATCAGTAAACGTTAAAAAATACCATTCCTTCACATGTAATCAGTAACGTTAAAAATTACCGTTCCTTCACTTGTAATAAGTAAACGTTAAAAATTACCGTTCCTTCACTTGTAATCAGTAAATGTTAAAAATTACCGTTCCTTCACCTGTAATCAGTCAATCCTGGTAATGTTAAAAATTGTCGTCCCTACACTTGTAATCAGTAAACGTTAAAATTACCGTTCCTTCACTTGTAATCAGTAAACGTTAAAAATTACCGTTCCTTCACTTGTAATCAGTAAATGTTAAAGTTATCGTTCCTTCACTTGTAATCAGTAAACGTTGAAAATTACCGTTCCTTCACCTGTAATCAGTAAACGTTAAAAATTACCGTTCCTTCACCTGTAATCAGTAAACGTTACAAATTACCGTTCCTTCACTTGTAATCAGTAAATGTTAAATATTACCGTTCCTTTACCTGTAATCAGTAAACGTTAAAAATTACCATTCCTTCACTTGTAATCAGTAAATGTTAAAAATTACCGTTCCTTCATTTGTAATCAGTAAACGTTAAATATTACCGATCCTTCATTTGTAATCAGTAAACGTTAAAAATTACCGTTCCTTCACTTGTAATCAGTAAACGTTAAAAATTACCGTTCCTTCACTTGTAATAAGTAAACGTTAAAAATGACAAAATATTTTAGTCAGTTTACAAAAAGTAGCCTTTTTTGAAAGCAAATTTAGTTAAAATTAGCTGATATGTTCCATTTTAATATTTCACAGTTAAAATAACTTCTAATTTCACTTTTCTACACAACTATTACTAGAAAGATTGTTTATTTATTTAAGTATATTAAAGTAGTGTTATATTTTATAAGTTTACTTGCAGGTGTTCTGCATACAGATTTGGATGACGTAAAGTTACACTAACATGCTACAATGCCTGTTCTATAAGACTTATGCTTGATCCAGTTTCTATGCAATGCTCTTTTGGAGTGATGACATACTAATTTCAATGGCTGGTAAAGGCACTTGTGAAAGTTAATGTGAGTTGTAACTTTATACTACTTGAATATGTATAATGGCGATGATCGTTGACATCTACATCAGATCGTTGGTTTGACCTAACACTGTAGCATCATCATTCTTTAGATTTTGATCTTTGTCCTATGTTGACATTAGAAATAGTCCCTCTGTTAAAGCTGCCAAAAGTTTTATAAAAAACAACAACATAGATGCAGATAGTTTCTCGCTGTGATCCAGAAGCTCCTTAGGGGAAACATAAACCCTCTCAGCTGACATTGTTCTAAGACCTTGTGTGGTGGCTGAATTTGGTGTAGAATCTGACCAAAATATACATCCCTATAAATTGTAATGTTCAACTCCAGACTTCATCCAGAGATGACCGTGTCCCCAGACTCTTGTAAGATTTAGTGGATCTTCCTTCAAACACTGGCAGCATCTCTGCCACACAGTAGTACAGAATATAGCAGCAGATTCCTAATCGCACCATTATTTAGTTATGATAGTGATGTGAAATAGATGATCCATCAATATTGAAGGGGCTGTAAAGGAAAATTGAACCATTTCCTTAAACATTTCAAGCAAGTTGTTCCATAAAATAGATGGATCCAGAGATAGCTGTTGCAGCATCTGAAGCTATCTATGGATATTTTGGTGCTCAATGTCCCAGAGCATTTGGAGAAGGTATGATCCAATGACTAGGATATAGCTGTCAAAAAGTACCACTAGATTCTTAGCTGTGTTGAAAATGGAGCAATCCATATGATTGAGTTCAAGGTTTAAAGGCAAGGACCTCATAAAAACTCAGCCTTTTACGTGGATTATTGAAGGGAGTAGCATGGGAACCCATTTGTGAGCATGTCTCCTGATGATCATGATGAGGTAGCAATCAAAACAATTATTAAAAGGCTACTGAGAGAATCCATCACTGATTGATGCAGTACCCATGTCAATGTGCTTCAAAGTAGTTACACTGAACTTTTTGCTGAAATGGTGATAGAAAAGCAACAATGATAGATTGCAGCTGTTGAATTTGCTCCAGGATAAATAGAAATGTCGATTACAAGTTCCATTGCGGCAGATGATGTAAGGCAGAGGTTCTAAGCCCTTGGGGCACCAAGGGTCTTCAGTGACTGTCCGAACTTTCCTTTATAGTCCAACAGTGGCTGTGCAAAAGGGGTCTATTTGAAGGCAGTAGGCTACCGAGCTAGCCACGTGGACAGAATCTGGGTCACAGCCACAAACAAAATCACTAATGTATGGTGCCATGGTGCATCAACCATGGTTCCAGATGGGACAAGAGGGCTTATCATCACCTATGCAGCTAACATTGAGCTCTTAAAAATGGCAGGAAAGTGAGGAAAGAAACCCTTACTATACAAATAGTTATGGAAATATTCATATTCTGTTGCAGGTTAGGACTATCAGGAACAAGTTCCATATTAACCAATGCCACAACAGATGTATGAGGTTCAATAACAATCTATGGCTCTAGCTGCTCTATCTAATTGAAACTAGTGGAGTCTGAGTTGGATGAGCACAGCATGCAGCTTTTACCCAAAGGTATAATGGCTGATTTGGAGAACCATGGACTTCACATTGTATGGTATATAAAAATAATGATATGTGGATGTGAGGTTGAGCTTCTAGTAGATATTGGATTTGCCTGGATCTTGCTCACCTAACCATGTATCAGGCATTCCAGCAAAAATCATCATATTGGCCCGTTATCAATCAATTCATCCTGAAAAGATAGAAAAAAGTGGAAAGGCATGCCTCCGACTTCATCTTCATCATGTTACATGCCAAATTTATGTAGTAGGCTTCAGATTTGGTTCTGGCATTTATTGAATTGTAATTACACAGTAAATCCACCCAGTTTTGATTAGGTTGAGGCTTTGAACAGTGGACTGTATGCATACATGTTGATAGTGATACCATCAAACACCAAAGTTGCATTCTTTGGTATATTACAGATGCAGCTTAGGTCACTGTTGCCATTTGCTGAAGTGGCAAAACGTATGCATCTAAGCAGCAGTAAAGCAATAAATCTAAATGACTGGAAGATTAGAATTGTATTAGCTTTGGCTGTAAGAACGAATAACGTGTAATTGACAGTAACAATATACAGTGATTCTAGAAATAAATAAAGGGTAAGTGAGATTTATTTTGTAGTTTTCATGGTGGTTACAAGGTTGGTCAAACGAACCGAGCCTGTATACAGTGTTAGGGTGGGGAAAATAACAGATATAATATAAAGCTTTACTAAAAATAACAACATTTGATGTTTATTTATGAGGTTCTACAGGTTATGAAAATCAGATTTGAAATCTGTAATATGTAAAAAATATATATCTAATTTTTACATGAAAATCACCTTACACTCAGATTAGTCAGAGTCTGACTCAGACTTTGCCTCCATATATTCACAGACACGTCTTTAGTAAAAAAAAAAATGTAATGTTTACTCAAATCTTGCCAAATTTCATGAAGATAATTTTACTACAATAAATGTTGTAATATGTATAGTTTCATGATAACATGATGGTTGCATGTTGGTTGAGATTACCAATCATTTATAAAAAGAGCTAATCTAACTAACACTTAAGTCATTTGATATCTTGACATTTTTTACGATCAAGATCCTTAGTATGTGTTGTTTAATTTGTTTATGATTCAATTGAATCATCAAAGTTTAACTTCATATTAGAGAACTTTATATATATATATATATAAGATGTAATTCAAAATCATTTCCACCCTAGGTATATAACAAAAATAATCTGATGACTGAAACTTGGCATCAAATCCGAACTTACCACACTGTGTAGCTGTTGATACGGACAAATAGAGCATGCGGACATACTGGGTGTAAACATTGGCATCAACATCTGACACATCTTTCTCACTCTGGAACTCCCACAAGTTGGGCTACAAGAATTCAAAGTTTATTGTTATTTCTAGACTTCAATACATATCTTCACAGTGAGATTCATGCTAAAATTGAGAACATCAGAGAAAAGTTGATTCTTATAAATCTCACGTTTCAATTCACACGCCATATTTTATTCTTGACAATATAATTATTACTATTTTATTTGAAAATGGCTGAAATATAAGTTTTAAATCCTAATGGAATGGCTTGTGACTTTAAAACTAATAGGATTGACTGATTACAGGTGAAGGAACTGTAATTTTTAACATTTACTGATTACAAATGAAGGAACGGTAATTTTAACATTTACTGATTACAAGTGAAGGAACGGTTATTTTAACATTTACTGATTACGGATGAAGGAACGGTAATTTTTAACATTTACTGATTACAAATGAAGGAACGGTAATTTTAACATTTACTGATTACAAGTGAAGGAACGGTAACTTGTGATGTATATTTGATCTTACAGAACAGATTTTAGTTTGTTCTGATTTTTAGCTATGTATGTATGTAATGCTTTTAATATATACTATTACAGTGAGGTATCCGTTCTTTTATTTTGAACAAGTTGTATTTAAATTATCTTTTTAAAACTACTTTTTTATGAAGATTTTGCTTTTTTTTATATTTGAAAAATATTAAGAGATTGCTATGATTCTGCTTTCACGGGATCCCAAGTGGGTCAGCGGTAATTTTCTGAACTTACAATGCTAAAATTCGAGGTTCGATTCCTCGCGGTGAATAGAGCGTAGACAGTCCATTGTGTAATTTTGCACTAACACAGCTCTCCTGTGGCACAGCGTTATGTGTACGGACTTAATCCTAGAAACAGGGTTCGATACCTGTGGTGGGCAGAAAATAGATAGCCCTTTGTGTAGCTTTGTGCTTACCTGGAAACAAACAAGCCTTAACACAACATATTTTAATGATCATCAAGTTTCTAATGTTAGATTCCGGATGATTATCTAAGTATGTTCCAGACTAATTATAAAAACAAACATTATCGTTTTTACTTTGCAAAGATTGTTCTGTTCCTCATTATTAAATGAAGATTTCTATACATTAAGTCATTTAATCTAAACTTCGTGTATCTCACCATTTCTAGTTGAAGTTCTAGTATCAGTGAATTTAACACTTGGAGCATGCGGTACTTATCGTGTTTATATTTTCGCTGGGGTATATTCTTGGGCAAAGCTACTCAATGGATTGTTTATGCTCAGTCTCTTAAACAGTCTGTAGACGCTGAATTCTGAAATCTAAATTTAAGCCTTATATTTCTGACAGTACAATCAAAGTAAACATTTATTTTCAATATATACTCTAGATATCATTACATAGCCAAACGCCTATTGAATTAAAGTAATGTATATTCATAGTATGCACTTTTAATGATAATAACGAGTGGATAACGATTGAATTTATTACCTTCACCCTATTTTTATCCTTTAGTTATGATAAGAAGCATATTTTATAATGGGACAACGTTTCTAATGGTTTAACACTTTCTGGTGGTTTCTGGCATGAAACTTCTGATAGGGAAAGTGTTGTTTAATAAATATTTTTAGCCGCGGCATAACGGCTTATACAATGGCTCTGAGTTTTTTCAAAGTTTTAGCTCATAGCTCCGTCATCTCTTGACCGATTTGAGATCTAATTACAGTTTTGGACTCAAGAGGTCAAACTGTTTCCATTGATTATTTGATCATGCTTAAAATCTCATCGATTAATT